ATATATATATATATATATATATATATATATATACTTAGAAGTTTATCTTTGCTTATTTACCTTCAGAGATATTTCTTCCCATGCCACTCTTCACAAAGCTGTTTGTCATCTCTCCAAAAACAATGATCATCAGTGGCAATCCAGACCCATTCGCTATAGCTGCCAGCAAGCCCACTATCATCAAAATGATATCCAGCCAATCGGCATAGTAAAACTATATGAATATTAAAGAAAAAGGAATAAATTTATTGTTAAGAATTCAAACATTTGCCAATACTTCACTAGGCATATAGAACAACATTTATTTTTTACATAACACTATTCACACTGCAGGTATGCAAAAGCGTTTTATGAAGCTATGAAAGCAAATACAACACGTTGGATGCACTTTGTAATAGCACACACATATATCTTTAAATCAATACTGAGGAAGTTAAGGAACACTGGCAGGTAAGCAAGGTTAATCTCTTACTCTATAGAGGAAAAAAAGAAGAATGTACCATACATTTTTTCATAGTGATGACACCTAATCAGTAACAGATACATTGCTCTGCACTAAATCATATATTGACTGAGATAATACATGCAAAATGTAAACAAGAACAGGTTATCAGCCAGCATTGCTATTACCCATCAGAAATAGTATGCAGGACTTAGATGTTTAAGGTTCATCTAGATTTGAATGTTACTCAAGATGACAGTATGGTGAATTTAAATTTAGCTCAATAACTCTTTGTGGAGACATTCTTATTCTAGAATAAGAATGATTTTTTTTTTTTTTTACCGTTTAGATCTGTGCTTCCCAAATGTTTCCTCAGAATGACCCCAGTTATTCAGCATGACACCTCACTCCTAACCCACAGACCCCCATCCTCACAACCCCATCTGCTGATGTTGTGACTCACAGGTTTGGGAACTTCTGGTTTATATTAATCTAGTTCCAAAGGGGATTGACTCACTGCATTATTTCAGCAATAGTTATCTAGAATCACAGAATCATTGAGAAGTATGGCTGGAAGGGACTGCCTGAGGTCACCTAATAGGGCTGTATGAAATGGGTCCTATTTGATTCAGATTTAGCCCGAATCAGGGACAGCGATTTGATTAGTTGATTCAGATAATTGTCCCCGATTCGATTTGGCTGAATCAGAATCTGAAGATTCGATGAGTCAGTGATTCGGACACAGGCACAGCTTTAAACATTTTTTCTACGCATGTTGAGGTAGCAGCATGGCTCATGATCACTGCAGTGCTGGGGCATCACACAGGACCACAAGGGGCTGTCCAGTGTGCTTGGCAGCAAACCCAGAAGTGGACCAGAAGTAGTTCTGGGTCTGCTGGGGAGTGCTCTGCCTCCCCCTTGTTTCCCCCCAGCCACAGGGGGACCCCAGTGCCCCCCAGACCCAGGAGGCACCAGTCACCAAGCCGGAGGGGGCATGGGCCCCCCTGTGCGCTCCCTGGTGGACCAGGAAGTGGACTGGAAATGCTTCTGGTCCACTTCTGGGTCTGCTGCTGAGCGCGCTGGGGAGCCCTCCGTGCTTCTGAAGGACGCTGCATCTGCCCCAGCATCGCAGCATTCACGAGCTCCTGCTACCTAGAGGTCCGTAGAAAAAAAACATTTAATGCTGTATCTACATCCAAATCAATTCAGAGGGTTCAGAGAGATTAAAGGATCCTCCAATTCGATTTGGAGATTCAGCCACCGAATCAGGCCAAATCTCCACCAAATCAAATCAGGTACCGAAGCTTCGTACAGCCCTATCACCTAATCCATGATTCCTTAAAAGCTATTGTTGAATAACTCTACATCTATACACACCCTAAGAGAAACAAGGCACCTCCTTCTTCCCATCCAGGTGCCACATTTGTCATGTAACAGATACCATGGAATTTTATTGCATGATGGAAATACCGTGCAAGGTGTGTGGCCAGATGTTAAAGCAATTGTATGATAGTTCCACACCACAAAGAAGTTGCTGTTCTAATGAGCATCTTTGTGGCTGATCCACCATTTTTTATCCAGAGATGAACTGGTTAAACATCTAGTATGTTACAACTTGTCATGCAATACTGCCATATACAGTATTCTGCAACAAACATAACATCTGAAGGGGGCCTTAGATAATATAGTGTGTTTTGCCTAAGAAAAGTCTAATGGAACCAGTACGTGGTCCTACGTACCCACTTTAGCTATTAACATGAGTAAATGTCACCCTCTGACACTGCTAGTGCTGAATTGATATGAAGCCTGGAAATGAGTTGGATTGGGAAACTTCACACAACAGGTCACATTTTTAAAAAGAGAGAAGTGCATCAGCACTGTTATAGCTTCTTACAAAATGTGGATTTCTGGTTGTACTTTACTCTGTTACATACAACAAGCAAATAAATGGAATAATGAAAAATGTAAATCAAACCAACAAACTGTACACTAACCAATTCCAAAATACCAACCATCTTCTTTTTTGCCTTCTCATTTTTCTCTCTAGAAAGATTAAAACAAAAGACAATGCTTATTGAGACTGTTTCAGGCACAGCAGAAAATATTAAACAGTTTATTGGTCAAAGAACCCCCTACTTTTTTTTAGTTGTCTTTAAATGGTCATTTTGTTCAGGTTTTTCTTCATACTGGAAAGCAGGATTGTTATATCCATTACATGCAGATTCTGTGGAGGAAGAAAATTTTGCTTGAATATTAAGTCTTTTGAGTCAGTTTCCTATGGTTCACCCCGTTTCTGTCTCTGAATTATTTAAGAATTAAAAAAAAAAATGGGCACATGAACAAGGTACCCTGAAGCAAAGAAAGCAGGGCTGCTGCCCCACAGTATCTTCCTCATGCATCTGCTACTCCACAGTAGCTGCCTCTGTACATGTTCTTACTCCATGGCAAATGTAAGACAATCATAGATTAACTCACAATGAAATAAGCAGATTAGAATCAATAACTAGATTAGCTCCCAATGAAAGAGCATGGACATGGGCAGTTATGCAGTAGCTGAGGTGTGGTAATGCTGCATTTTCCTTCACTTTGTGGTAGTTTGTTCATGTGCTTATGCCCTCAATTTTTTTCACTCTCTCTTAAAAACTTCCTGCGTACCCCAATCACTTCTGTGCTGAGAACAAACTTCATTTTCAGCCCAAAGATTAACTTTTCCTATAATTTAACAACAGCTTTAAAAAATAAGATAGTAATAATAATAAAAAAAGCTTGGGCCCTGCAAAGACTTACACACATTTAACATACAGAAAAAGGGTGGTTCCACCGAAATCCATGGAACTGCTTACAGGGGTGTGTGTACACATGTGCTTTTGTGCTTTAGTCCACAGTAGCCTATTTTACTGTGCATTAAAGTGGCAAGTAAAAAATCATGCTGAAGTGCAGTAAGTGTCACCGAAAAAGCATTCACATATACTACTGCACATTAGGGCAGCCTAATGCTCATTAATTTAGTACATCCAATGTGAGGTACTAAATGAATGCATATTAGGAAGAGTACACTAATGCACATGTAGATATGCCTAGTATGTAAAATTAAGAACTTGCTTAAGTTTTTCAAGACATACTTAGTATTTTTTTGTTGTTGCTGCAATAGTTATGTTGTTGCAATAGTGCCTACAAGGCCTGGTTCCATTGCACTAGGTTCTATACAAAAGGAGGACCATTAACCAACAGAGCTTAAAATCAAACTGTAAGGGGGAAAAGAACAAGCATGGGACGTCCCCCATCAAAAATAAAATAAGCCAGTAAGATCACAGGGAAATAGTTAACTGATTGTGAACTACATGATAAGGGATGATTAAATCACTGTCTAATCTAGCTCTACAATGCCTGTTCTGTCACTATCAGTATATTTTCCCCCATTGTCTTCCACCATTGGTTTTCATAACAATTTTGTACGGGAAAACAGACTTAAAAGGAAACTATTGTGTTTTGTTGGCTTATATAATCATTCAAATGCAATAAAATATCTCTAGATTCATTTGACTTGTATAACAGAACATTTGCATTCTCAGGCCTCATTCCGCATAAATAACTCTACCCTGTGAGTGGCCACATTTGAACTCAGCTACTCAAGTGCATAGAAGTTCCCCAGAGGGAGATCTTAATTATTTTGAAACTCACTAAGCATTTACTAAGCTGGTAGAGTGAAAACCAGAGATATGATGTCCCAGCTAATGTTTCAATAAAATATAGACCATGTGTTCAGTGCAAGTTGAGGAAGTCTTATAATCCCCTTGTGGCTTTTGGCTTGTGGAACTGTTTTTAACCTAGCATTAAAAACAAACAACCAAAGACAAAAAACAAAACAAAACAACTTACCAGAATCAGGCAGTTCCTTTCTTGTTTGATTTATAAAATTGTCCTTCATTTTATTATGTTGTTGTACAGATGGTTCAGATATGGAACTGAATCACTCTCGGTGAAACCTCCATACAAAAAAGAAAACAAAACAACTTTTAGAAAACAGTCATTTAAAAGAATTCATGTTAAAGTATGGGTACTGTTTCTTTACTCACTATTTGTTTCCTTTCAATATTTCTCCTACTGTGCAAAAATATTTATCTTTACATACCCCACACACTAATTTTACCAAAGGTATACATTTTTTAATACCCCAAAAGTACTGTCCTACTCAGCCAACAGGTTTTCTAGATTTCAAGGTGAGGTTGGAAGACTTTGTGTGAGCTGTATGAAACAGTCTGTCCAATTTCATTCAGTTACCCCATACTGTATTTGAATAAAATATATCTTTAATTCATCCCATGATGGTGATTATCACCATGAATAGTAAAGATGCACGATATTCTATCTTTTCAGATCTGATGGGGAGTTGTTTAACAAGAATGGCAAAAGACAGCATATGATAACATTCTACCCTTGCATGGCATCCAGCGACTCTTGAAGCAGGTTAAAATAAAAATTAAACAAAACCAACATGATATGCTCATGTAATCAAAAGAAGGAGGTTAATTAAAAATTCTCATTTTTCTCCACTTTCTTTGAATCAATTTCTAGTCATACAATCACATAAAAGTTGGGCTGGAAGGGACCTCAGGAGGTCAACTCAAGGCAGGAGCATCCCTGTCTAAACCGTCCTAGGCCAATGTTTGTCTAACCTGTTCTTAAAAACTTCCAAGGACGAATACTTCATGACTTACCTAAGTTGTCTATTAACCACTCTCATAGTAAGAAAACTCTTCCTAATAAGCAACCTGAATCTTCTTGCTGCAGTTTAATGCCATTACTCCATGTCCTGTCCCTGGTAGCCACAGAGAATAGCCTATCACCATAACCTTCCTTCAGGTATTTGAAGACTGTTGTTAAATCGCCCCCTCAGTCTTCTCTTCTTGAATCAGTACACTACTACCAACAACAACAACGGCAAAGTACAGACTTTTACAGGTGTAAGTGATCAGAAACGGGTCTATACCTGTACCAGAACAGAAGTTCGACACACAAAATTGGCCTATGCTCATAAGAGACCAGAAGTTTGGCGCACACAGACTGGTTTAAAAATGGCAGAACTTGGTCTAAGATTTGCCCCACACCACCAAAGGGCAAATGCACACTCTGTTTGAATGTTACTTTGATCCTGCCTGCCCGTCCCAGTTCTTCCAGCCTTTCCTTATAGGTTGTTGGCTGGGTTTGCCAGTGATTTTTTCAGCTTTTAACTTGGTGTTACAGCCAACAGTCACACACAAGCTGTTAAACGTTTATGGAAGCACCTGTAAGATATGCAAGGACACATGAAATAATCACTGGCAAACTCAGCCAACAACCTACAAGGAAAGGCTGGAACCGGCAGGCAGGATCTAAGTAACATTCAAACAGAGTGCGCATTTGCCCTTTGGGGATGTACACTATTTATTCCCTTGGTTTTCACAGCCGTTTCGCAGGCCACCTGCTTCCTCCTTGCCATGGGCTGGAAAAGGGAGTAGTGGGGACCCCTTCAGGGTCAAGATCCCCACAGGTAGAAGCACAAGGGCAATCGAGCATCCCCCAAAACCCAATTGCAGCAAGCAGCGCAGAGACAAGGGTCCTCAGAGCATCCCTGCAGACCTTGAACAAGAGGCAGCAGCCCAGGTAGGAGCTCTGCCCCTTGAGTGCTCTCCAGCGCAGGCCCCTCCGAGCCCGTCTCGGCGCGGGCAGCCGGCAGTCAGGGTCGAGAGCGGCCCCGGGGGGGAGCTAGCCGCCCCAGCGGATGCCCGGGTAAAAGCAGGGGCACTGGTGGGGCAAGCTCCCGGCTGCAGGGCGGGAACAGCAGAGGAAGCCTCCCGCCGCCCCCGGCTTGCAGCAGCGCGGCAACACGTCCATCCCTCAGCAAGCCCCGGCCCCCGCGAGAGCGGAGCGGGGTCGCCCCGGGGCGGGCTGAGGCGCCGCGGGCTCTGCCCAGCCTGCCCGCCTCGGGCCCAGGGCAAGACCCCCCCGGCGGGTACTTACACGCGGTAGAGCCGCTCTCCTCCCCTGCCCTCCTCCCAGCTCCTCTCCTCCGCTCTGCCCCTGGGTATTTAAGCAGCAAGCTGCCTCCTGACGCCCAGCTGCTGCCAACCTGTCCCCTCCCCTCCACAGGCTGCAGGGATCCGGTTTCAAGATAGAGCTCCCCCAGCCTCGTATCCCCAAATTAATTCCCACCGAGAGAGATCCCCTTGTGTGGTGGCCTGGGACTCAGGTCCAGGGAAGGCTCCTTCCAACTTAAATGCCTCCCATGACCTCTAGAAAAAAGAAAGTGCAAGGATTTAGCGGGGAAAAGCCATGAGAAGCGCAGTCCTGCTGGAAGCTCGCTCTATCAAACTGGAGGGGGTGAAAGTTTTCAGAGGTATTACTTTAGAGGTATTCACTGAAAATAAAATAAATTTTAAAAAAAGCGCCGCTTCAGGGCAGCCCAACTGATCTGTGAACGAGGGTCAAATGTAATGAAGTTTCAACCCCCAAAAGAGGGGGCTACCATTGGGAAGCGACAGCATTTGTTAGGCACACTACCTTAATTTTTCATTTCAAACTGACATCAAGACTGCAGTGAGCTAAATTTGTCCAAGAACAAATAATCAACAAGCAGTCCCCTTTCCAAAAATGAAGAAAAACAAAAATAAAGCAGAACAAAACCTGAAACCTTTTTGTTTGCCCCGAAATGATATATTTTTTCTTTTTCTTTTTAAATGTATTGGGTGTGATGGAAATGGTTATTCCAGGCTGAGCAAAAAACAAACCTTCCTCAATTTCTGCGAGTCTGAGAGTTTCAAGAATACATATCCACAGTTCTTTAGTTTTTATCCATTATTTCAAATGGTGAATAATAAGCTTTGGGAACTTCGTACTTAATTACCCAAGGAAGGGATTAAAAGTTAGAAAGTGTCTTTGAGACATGGATTTATATAACAGTGCTGAGTGCAGGACAAGGATCTAACTGGAAGGGGAAGAATACCACTTATGGACTGAATTTCAGGGTTCTTAAGTCCCCACAACAGTAACTTGAAATAACTGGCTGTACACTCAGCATTTTTTAATATTTATAGAGAGCTGCTCTGAGTGACCCCTAATCAAGGCCCCCACATTGTGTTAGCTGCTGTATGTAAATATTACTTCTAAGAAACACCCTGCATCAATGATATTATACGGTAGATAAAAAGTTAGGCAATGGGAGAAAATGGAGAAAATTACAATGCACTCAAGCAAAATGTGTAAAGACTCCCCTGTTTTCTTCCCTTCCTTATCTTTAATTTTGTACTTTTGGCAGGGCTACCTAACTCCCTACCTGCTAAATAACTTCTTTGAACAAACAGAGAAGCAAAAGAAGAACGATAGGAAGAATCAGATTTTATTTATTTTTTTATTTCATTTATATTCCACCCTTCCTAACAGGCTCAGGATGGCTTTCAATAGAAGAAAACAATAACTTATAAAACAGGAAAAACACTTATTCAACAGGAGAAAATGTCAAACAGAAACCCATTAACCATATCCCAGCCTAACTTTCTGGAAGGCTTAATTCACAGCCTGTTAGAAGGCCAGACACTGCTGTAGCAAACTAAATTATTTTTAGTTCCTTTATAGTAAAAGATGACCAGTAGTATGTAAAACTTTCGCAGAACTGATTAGTTATAAGCTGAAACAGATATATGACAAGCAGAAAGGGCACAAGCTAATAAAAAAAAAGCTATGGTAGTGATGCACTCTACAACAGTGTCACACAGCAGAGCTTTGGACAATTCCTGTGGAATACTGTGGATGTTCAAGCCTTAAAGAAAGCATGTGATTTGAGAAACACCCTCCCCACCACCATGTAATGATTTGTTTAGTTAAGAAAAAGCCCCAAAAACAAAACAACAAAACCCTTTCAAATAACTTGAAAGCCACCCTTCATTACTTCATTTTCACCCATATCTGAATGAATTTGACTTTCCCCAACATAGCAAGTGACAGAAAGCACCAAATAAATACAGTGCACATACCACCAGTCAATGTAAGTTAGTTACCATGAGCCACAGCTGCTAAACGGGAAGATGGTACCTGTGCAAAGGAAATATTTGTGAGATTTGTAATGTAAACTTTATAAAGGATAAGCTATGCTTAGTTTCTCCTGAAGAGTCTTTGAATTGTGGATAGCATGTGGCAACTCAGAGTTTAATGTAGCTGAATATAGAAATGATAAAGTAATAGATACCATTTTTAGTTTAATGTTTGGTTTGATGCTTCCTGCTATAATAGAAAAGCACCAGGAAGGTGTAACGTTTTGCAGATGCCTCTCACAGTAGCACCCAGACCTGGTTGCTCCAACATCTGCTGTAGAGTTAGAGTTTAGGGATAGATTCTGCTCTCAATTCCACTCAAGCAAACCACTGGCAAGAGCTAAAGAATTCAGAGCAGAATTTGTCCCGCTGTACTACCACAACCTGATAGGTAGTAACGTTTCTACCTTTTAAATTTAGCTGTAATTGGCACGTAACCATTATCTCACAAAAATCCTACTGTTAGTGCAACTACTCTCAGACGTAACATATCATTCCCCCAAATCTAACATTCTCCAACTCTAATATGCACCTTCCATTACTTTAAAACATTATTGTGATATCTATACAAAAAACAGTATTCATTGTATTGTCATAAAAATACATCATGCGAGGCACCTATAATAAAAACAGTCCTTGCCTGAAAGATCTTATTATCATCCAAATTTTTCACTGAAAATGCTAATTAAAACATAATGTCGGCCACTTAGATATGTATATGGGGTTTCCATTTTTCATTGATAGTTGTTTATATACCATGTATTATATTTTTACCATTTTTTAATAAAAAATGGACACTGTGTAATAATTCTGCTTGCTTTTAAGTTACTATTCAAACCTGGAGGGCAAAAATTACATTGTTTTTTTTCCTGGCTCACTCCTCCAGTCTGTGTTTAATAAACAGCTGTCCTGAGTGCCTCTGGGTCATGACACTGGCTAAATTTTAGCAATGGA